AGATTTTGTATTTTACTACTTTTTCGTCCCTATCTTTAGCAATTTGTCCTTCTGTGCTTATTGGTTACATCTCTAATTGTGCAAATATTCTAGTGAATATTTCTACTACATCTGTTACTTTTAATTTATAGTCTAAAGCCAAAGCCGACGTCTTCCTTAAAACCCAGACTCTACTCACATGATCTTTTAACTTCATTCTGCTGCCCTTCACTCAGACTTAAAACTAAAGTGTCATCTTTGGATCTTCTTTTTCCTTAAGTTGACTTAAGGCCTAACTATTTGTGACTTTTTCTTCTTTTATGTTTCCCACCTCTATTTCCACTGCTAACTCCTTAGTCCATCCTTTTTTTCTACTTAAATACTGAGTTTCCACTTTTGGTCTCATTTTGTCCCTTTGCTGTTGTAATTTTTTTTTTCTTCTCACTTTTTATCACGTCACTTTTCCATGCAGAACCCTTAGTCCATTATGTAAATGCAGTCTGGCTTTAACTATTTTTCTGACTTTCAAAATGTCTATAACTTTGTGTTGAAAATCTGCTTTCTTTCAAATTGATCTGACCTATATTTCTAAAATACATGCTTTTCTGCTTTTGTACTTTAACCTAACCTGGCCTGTGTGCCCTTGTCATCGCCATGTCTAGTCTTTCCTATCTGAGGTATCCTTTTTCTTTGTACCTATTTTCCAAGACTATCTTCCCAGCCCATACCAAGTTGCTTTTTTGAAATCTTTAAGTATTCATTGGTACGTATGTGTTATCAGATGTTTTATCACGCATCTATGTTTACATGCTTGTCAACTGAGACTTGAAGAGTTAGGATATACTGAGGTCATTGGTGCCTCTTGTACTTGTTAGGCACCTGTAGGTTTATATTAACTTTACTTAAATGTAGGGAGCTCTGGTGGGGTAGGTAGTTCATAGGAAGTTGTACAACTTCCCCAAAAGTGACATCTCCCTGACAGTTCAAATCCACCAACTACTTGGCAGAATAAAGATGGACAGTCTCCTTCCATGAGATTTATAGTCTCTGAAAACCAGCTGAGGGGTCAGTTATGATTTGGTTCCAGCTCAATAGGAATGAGTTTGAATTTTTTTTGAGTTAACATAAGAACTTGTTCTTTGTCTCTGCTTTTTGAGAGAGAACTAACTCCTTGGAATTCCTGAATAATTTGAGTATCTTTCTTATCTATAGTCTTAGAACATATATGAGAACTTGTGCTAAACAGATGATCTTTAGTGAGACCTATAGTTGTTATGTGCTGTTGAGTCAACTGCGACTAATAGCGACATTGTGTACAACAACCCTAAACCCTGCTCTATCTTGTGCAAATCTTATTGTCTCCGACACACCTACCCCTGTTACCCTAGCCACTGAGTCAGTCCACCTCATTGAGGGTCTTACTCTCCTACGATGTCCCTCCACCCTCCCAAACATGATGTCCCTCTCCAAGGACTGGTCCCGCTTTGCAACATGTCCAAAGTATGTGAGACGGAGCTTCAGAATCCTTGACTCTAAGGAGCAGCCTGTCTCACCCTCTCCAGGACGAACTTGTTTTTTCTTGT